AAGAAATGGAATCTTAAACTAGTTAGTCAGGAATCACCTGACCAGCACTAGTTGAGTAATCTGCCTAATAGATCCCTTCTGTGCAATAACTTTTTTTCCCTATCATAACTTCCTTGCTCCCATTCCATTCTGCCATCTTTTTTTTTTTTTTTTTCCATCTTTCATTTCATAAAACATGTCAGGGCTCCTGTTAGACTGAATGATGCCCGATTCGAATCATTTTTGCTCAAATAAACTCTTCAAAAATTTTATTTATTTATTAAGGATTTAATTTATTTATTCATGAGAGACAGAGAGAGAGAGAGAGGCAGAGACACAGGCAGAGGGAGAAGCAAGCTCCATGCAGGGAGCCCGATGTGGGACTCAATCCTGGGTCTCCAGGATCACGCCCTGGACCCAAGGCAGGCGCTAAACCCCTGGGCCACCCGGGCTGCCCAGGAAACAGTTTCCGCTCTGATACCCTTCATGTCACAGAGTAAAAATCATGGAGCTCCCATTTGGAATTCATGGCACTTCCAGCAATAGCAAGGGCCAGGCCCTCACAGCTAGTTCCAACTCAATGAGAAGGTACTGTTACATCCTCATTTTACAGATGAAAGTGCTGAGGCACAAAGCCCCAAAACAACCTGTTCCCCATCAAACTTAGCCCTGTGAGAGAACCATGATGTGAAGCCCGTCAGAGTCTGGCTTTGGGTCCATGAAGTCATCATTCACTTTTCCCCAGAAGGTTTCCAAGAAGGGGCATAGAGCAGAGACTGAGAGTCGTAATACTCAGATGAAGGAAAGGTGCAGGATGCTGGGCTGAGCAGGTGGTAGACAACAGGAAGGGCAAAGGAACTCACTGACACTGTGAGTTCATCACCAGGAGCACTATGCAGTATCACCTCGTTTTAATCCTCACACTTGGGGCACCGTCATTTTATGAACTGATTAAAAACCTCAAGAGATGGGATACCTGCTGGCTCAGTGGTTGAGCATCTGGGTTTGGCTCAGGTCATGATCCCCGAGTCCTGAGACTGAGTCCTGCATCAGGCTTTCCACAGGGGGTCTGCTTCTCCCTTTGCCTATGTCTCTGCCTGTGTCTCTCATGAAAAAATAAAATCTTAAAAAAAAAAAACAAACTGAAGGAATTAACTCATTGGCTTGGTCATTTGGGTTGAGTAAAGGGCATAGCTCCAGCTAACAATCAGACAGTGGAGTGTGAGTGGAGGAGAGATCAGGGTAGGTTATGAAAGGGTGGCAGGATTACAAGCTGCTGGAGGGTGTGGAGTCCGTGCATAGGCAGGTGGAAGTGGGCCAGAGTGCCAGTCAAGGACTTGGTAGGGTGGAGCTCTGCAGGAGGCCAGGGGCATAATGCTCCAGCTCTTCTGAGAGTGAGTGCCTTAGTTTGGGGGCCATTTGCAATCACATTCTTTTTTTTTTTTTTTTAAGATTTTTATTTATTTATTTATTCATGAGAGACACAGAGAGAGAGGCAGAGACACAGGCAGAGGGAGAAGCAGGCTTCTTCCATGCAGGGAGCCTGACATGGGACTTGATCCCAGGCCTCCAGGATCACACCCCGACCCGAAGGCGGCGCTGAACTACTAAGCTACCTGGGCTGCCCTGCAATCACATTCTCATTGGGTCTGTGAATTTTGCCCCTTTTTGAAGCTGAATGCGTAGTGGGGATTAAACAGAAGCTAATGAGGCACTTCTCAAAATTTACCACCTTGGGGGGCCTGGCTGCCTCGCTGCATAGAACATGCAACTCTTTTCTTTAAACCTTTTTTTTTTTTTTTTTTTTACTTATGATAGTCAGAGAAAGAGAGGCAGAGACACAGGCAGAGGGAGAAGCAGGCTCCATGCACCGGGAGCCCGATGTGGGATTCGACCCCAGGCCTCCAGGATCGCGCCCTGGGCCAAAGGCAGGCGCCAAACCGCTGCGCCACCCAGGGATCCCAGAACATGCAACTCTTGATCTCAGGCTCGGGAGTTCAAACCCCATGATGGGTGTAGAGATTTCTTAAAAATATTAACAAACAAACAAACAAACACATACACCCCTAGCAAATAAGATTTAAGGTTGATGCCTACAACACCTACACCTGTTTACAGAAAACCATAGAATAAATTAAATCTTAAAGAAAAAAAAAAGAAATTGGAGACACCTAGGAAAAACTTCAGGCAAGTGGGATTTTATTTTTATTTATTTTTAAAAAGATTTTATTCATTCGTTCATGAGAGACACACAGAGAGAGAGAGGCAGAGATACAAGCAGAGGGAGAAGCAGGCTCCATGCAGGGAGCCCAACGTAGGACTGGATCCTGGGTCTCCAGGATCACGCCCTGGGCCGAAGGCGGCGCTAAACCGCTGAGTCGCCCGGGCTGAGTCACCCGGGCTGCCCACCAGCGGGATTTTAAATCTTTTAGTACATTAGGATTACCTCACTTTTATTTTTTTTTAAGAATTTATTTATTCATGAGACAGAGAGAGGCAGAGACACAGGCAGAGGAAGAAGCAGGCTCCATGCAGGGAGCCCAACGCGGGACTCGATCCCAAGTCTCCAGGATCACGCCCTGAGCTGAAGTTGGCTCTAAACCGCTGAGCCACAGGGGCTGCCCAAGGATTAATACATAACAAACGTGGCATTAACAAATTGGGGCAGGAGTAAGTGGGAAGGCAGCTTCCTGGCTGATGCCTGTCAGAACAGTCATGGGAATGAAGCGTATACATTGCATATGCTGGGGTCTGCGGAGGGCAGGCTGTGAGAGGCAGAGCTTAGCTGATGGAACTTTCATCTGACAACAAAGCATCAGAAAGAGTTCATAGGCTGGGAAAACACTTACCTGACCTCCCCTCTAGATGTGCAGGGCCACCCTAGCAACTTCAGCCAACACTGTTGGTGACTTCTTTTACAGCCTTCCCTGCAGCTAAGGATGGCTACCTGACAAAGGAGATGTGAAGCTGGGAATTTCTGGGAAAACTTTGTTCCTGATCATTTCCAAGGAGGATGGGCTGCTTTTACCCTCTTCTTGCCTTCAATGCACATGTAATGCTGGAACATCCTGTGATCAGGGACAAAAGCCCAAATGCTATCGACAGTGGCAAGGATAAAGGAAGCTGAGTCCCTGAGGGCATCACTGAACATTAGAACCAAGGCCAGCAACTGCCTATGTACCCACCTCTTAAGTGAGAGAAAAAATCATCTTCCTTGAAATCACGAACCCATTGTTTACTACTAGCAGACAAATGTAATTTTTTTTTAAAGATTTATTCATGAGAGACACAGAAAGAGAGAGAGAGAGGCAGAGACACAGGGTGAGGGAGAAGCAGGCTCCCTGTAGGGAGCCCGATGTGGGACTTGATTCAGGACTCCAGGATCACACCCTGAGCCTAAGGCAGATGCCCAACCGCTGAGCCACCCAGGCGTCCCACTATTCCCACTTTTCCATCAACCAACCAGCAAGCAAGGAAAGTTCTCATTTGCTGAGATTTCTCCAAAGATATATTGGCCTCAGGTACAATAAACAGGCCTTTATGACTTCACAATACCAAGACCTTGTGGGTCTGGTGACTCACTCTCCAGAAAACGCCCAGGACTGTAGCAATTCTGCTACCATCCTGCAGCACATGAGCGGGTCCCACAGTGCTGCTGCAAGTCTTGGACTTGGAAAAGCAGACTTGGACCACCACTAGGGAAGCTTAAGGATCATTCTCTCATCTGGAAACAGCTTTGAGAAGCCCACAGAAGCGAGGCCACTGCTTTTGATATCTACTTGGAAAGAATTTACTGTGTAAAAACAAATTGTGGCTCTTAAGAGCAATAGAACCCCTATGTGCCCACCCCTCCCATGTTTAACTGAAAAAAGAAACTTCCACCTACTCTGAGTCCTCTGTGGGCAATGTCTAGCTGCAACCAAATACCCTGTTATAGTAGATATCCCTATCTAAAGTGATTTCAGCAACAGAATAAGATCAAAGGTAAATTATGTGCTTTGTTATCCACTTTCCTCTCCAGGCAAGAAAGTGAGGAAGCACTGAGATTCAGCTGGTGTGTCATACTTCCCTATCTAAATGTGGTCTCTAAACTAGGGATATATATATATATAAACTAGGGAGACATAGACAACAAAGGATGCTCCTAAATAGCAAACTTTGATGGATCTACAAAACATGATCTCAACCAGGAGGTCACCCAATATTTCCTTCATTCTTTTCATTCATTCATTTTTTAAAAAGATTTATTTATTTATTTTTGAAAGAGAGAGGGATCCCTGGATGGCGCAGCGGTTTGGCGCCTGCCTTTGGCCCAGGGCGCGATCCTGGAGACCCGGGATCGAATCCCACATCGGGCTCGCGGTGCATAGAGCCTGCTTCTCCCTCTGCCTATGTCTCTGCCTCTCTCTCTCTCACTGTGTGCCTATCATAAATAATAAAAAAAAAAAAAAAGAGAGAGAGAGAGAGAGAGAGCTTCAATCAGATTGAGATCCCGGCATTCTGAGATCGAGTCCTGCATTGGGTCCCTGCTGCCTATGTCTTGCCACTCTCTGTCTCTCATGAATAAATAAATAAAATCTTAAAAAAAAAAAAAAAAGTCTCGCGGGGGTTAGCAATGAGCCCTGAACTCCTTGGTAGCAGACTCTAGAACCAGTGCCTCTGCCTAGGGGTACAGGAGGATGAACATGGCCAGTGCCCTGAACCTGGTTTGTCTTCATCTATAATCTGGAAGCAGTAATTCCTATCAGACCAGTCATCTCTTCTTAAGCCAATGTTACTGGCCCTATGGGTTCTACTATGCATTTTCTGGTCCTTTTAGTTATAAGTAGGCAGAAAACACATCCACCTCCCCTTCTCTCTGCCCCTAGACGAGGTTCTGGATTGGCTACTCAACTGCTGACAGGTCTCTCATATATATATATATTTTTTTAGGTCTCTCATATTTTAAGACTTTAACACTAAACCTCAGAGGTTAAAATAGTCCAACAGTTGCAAGAAAGACAAAAATGTACCATATGAGATTGTTCTGATAAGACCATGTTTTAATTGCCTATGACATGGATACAGCACATAATGGCTCAAAATGTAAGATTAAAGAAAAACATGAAAATGAGTTCATGAATCCTTAATTTTAAGTAAGCTTCCAGCAAAAAAAAAAAAAACCCAAAAACAGGACCTCCCCCCAAAAGAACCCCCCCCCAAAAAACAAAAAAGCAAAAACCAAACAAACAAAAAAAACCCACAGGGGTTAGAATAATTTTAAAATTGTGTCTTCAAAACTAGCACCTTTCATCATCTGTCTTTTATTCATTTTGCTGTGATACAACTAACAAGGCCCAAAAGTACTCCCCTCGGTCTCAAGTAACAGTTTTCTGAGAGCAAAAATGTCACTTTCTTTGTGCAGTGAAGGCTGGCATTTGGATGGGCTGGATCGGGTGGACAGGCTGGAACACTGGCTTCTTTCTCATTTCAGACAGTGTTTTCACTGCAGGGAGCAGCTGATTTCTTTTGATGATCTGTAAGGCCAGCTGGGTATTACCTATAAAAACAATTCCCATTAAAAAAAGGCATAAACAATACCACCACACACAAAGCAAGTCATCAGCATCATGAAACTAAGAGGCGGTAAGAGCAGTGGTCTGCAACCTTTGCTAGACACTGAAGCCACATCATGCCTCCATCCCATCCCCAGAAATTCTTACTTAAGAGACCTGGGGTGTGACCTGGGCATAGGCATTTTCCAAAGCCCTAAGGTTTTTCTTAGGTATAACCCAGCTTGTGAACTGGTCTCCAGGTAGACGGCATAGAAGAAGGGCGTGTGGGACCAATGCACTAACCCTAATCACACCTTTTAGGAGGACAAGGCCAGCTGGGTACCAGGCAGTTAACGCTATTAAAAAAACTATCAAAAGAGGGAACTATGTAAGGATCCCCATGATTCCAAAAGGAGGCATGATTTATTTTTTTTATTTTTTTAAAGATTTATTTATTTATCCATTCAGAGAGAGTGAGAGAGAGGCAGAGACACAGGCAGAGGGAGAAGCAGGCTCAATGCAGGAAGCCTGATGCGGGACTCGATCCCCAGTCTCCAGGATCACACCCCAGGCTGCAGGCGGCGCTAAACCGCTGCGCCACCAGGGCTGCCCAGGAAGCATGATTTAAAACTTTTTTTTTTTTTTAATTTAAAACTCTTAATATTTTAAAAGATTTCTTCCATTCGTGTCTCTTCTCTACTTCATGCTGTCTCTTACATAGGGCCCACAGTCTAATTTTCTCAGAAGCCACATCCTTTTTTTTTTTTTTTTAAATTTTTTAAATTTATTTATGATAGTCACACAGAATGAGAGAGAGGCAGAGACACAGGCAGAGGGAGAAGCAGGCTCCATGCACCAGGAGCCCGACGTGGGATTCGATCCTGGGTCTCCAGGATCGCGCCCTGGGCCAAAGGCAGGCACCAAACCATTGCGCCACCCAGGGATCCCAAGAAGCCACATCCTTAAAGGCTTTATGTGCCCCAAAGGTAGGACCTGGATGTAGGTCTGGATAACTGTCAGCAAGAACTGGTTTGCTGTAAAAGTCATTAATGACATTTCTTTTTCTTTTTTTTTTTAAAATATTTTATTTATTATTTATTCATGATAGACAGAGAGAGACAGAGACACACACACACACACACAGGCAGAAGGAGAAGCAGGCTCCATGCAGGGAGCCCGACGTGGGACTCGATCCCGGGACTCCAGGATTGTGCCCTGGGCCAAAGGCAGGTGCCAAACCGCTGAGCCACCCAGGGATCCCCCTGACATTTCTATTCAAAATAACTCTTAGCAACTCTTACAACTCTTAGTAACTGGCATTCGGACTCATGTTCTGTATTCAAGTCATCTGTCTGCCTAAGAGAAAGTTTAATTAGTAGGAATTAATTATAATTAGGTGTCAGAGTTAAGTAACCTCTACACCTAACATGGGGTTTGAACTCACAACCCTGAGATCAAGAGCTGCATGCTCCTCTAACTGAGCCAGCCATCTCTGAAGGAATACAGTCCTACCTAGAGAGAAGAATTACTTACCATTTTGCAGTTCAAGGTAGACTGCCAATAAGATGGCTTCAGGCGGCACCTCTTTAGGATGGATCATTGAAGCCGCCTTTGCTCAAAACAAAAAAAGACACCCATGAAAAACCATCAGCTTAAGACACAAACAGCAAGTAATGCTGGGAGGCTGGGGCGGGGGTGGGGTGGGGTGGGGAGTCTACCAATGACAAGTCAGCAGACTTATCTAAGTTCATTCCCACATGACCTCCTAGGACTATTACCATTCTGTTCTGATGTCCCTCAACTACCTTTGTCCTCATCCCTACTGATTAAACTAGACGTGTAATTTTTTGTTAAATGATTTCGTTATTTTTCTTTACCTAGTCCATGAGTTCTTAATAGGGGAAAGTTTTTCTTCCCTCTTGGTTTTCACCTACTTGGGACTCTGCTTCCATGTCTTGGCTCTATTTGGTTTTGAGAAGGGTGATCAGACACTCCTGATTCTAAACTCCAGTCATTGGTCCAGGTCTCTTCACCACATGGTTGCACTTATATTAAAACATGCATGTCCATTTGTTTCCCTAATAATGACTCAGTAGTGTGGGTCCCAAGTTCCCAATGTCAGCAATAAGAATTCAAACTTAAAAAAGAAAAAAAAAAAAAGCACCACTAGACATGTTCACTATCTCCATTCTTATGGACTGAAACAGTAAAAGTCTGTCAAATAAAATAATTTAATTGTTTAAGCAACATGCTGTTCTTTCCTGGATCTGAGAGTCACATCTCCAGCTAGCAGCTTCTGTCTGACCCAGTCCTGAGAAAAGCAGCCTGGCCTGCTCTGGTCAGCCATGCCAAGATCATAGGGTTATTTCCTCAGTCTGGGCTCTGGGCTGCAGCCTTTTCCTGCCACCTTACTATCCCCTTGTATTCCCCCACCCAGTTTCAGGAGCTCTGGCTTCCAGGCTGTTCTGCTTTTTCCCTTCATCTTATCAGAAAGTGTACTTGTAGAAACATTTATTAACCAGAGGTGGGTGTGTGGGTAAGACAGGGACTCATCCTGATCATAAACAGGAATGCAAACAACAATAATCCAAATTTACCCAAATGCTAGAGAGAGAAGAGAGTGAAAGTACTGTGAATATGAAGAGAGAAAAAGGTTTCTTTTGAATGGAGAGCTTCAGGGCAAAGGGCACCTGCCTTAGTCCTCTCAGGGAAGACACTGGGTAGGCAGAAAATGGGGGGAAAGGCCTTGTATGCCAAGCTGTGAAGATGGGAGATGTCTAGGGGACCAGACGCTTGCTGCAGGGTCAATTCCCTGCATCCTCAGAAGAGATTATGATGAGCGGGAACTCTTATCCAGGGCACACACTAAGTTCTTCATGCACGACGCAGGGAGGCTTTTTTCCTCTTACCACGTCACTGAGGTATAATGACTCAGTTTAGAAAATGAGAGTTTACACTTCTAGGCCAAGCTTTATACAGGCAAGGTCATCTGTACAGCACTTTGTGGGTATTAAAATCTCCGTTTTGCCTCCCAAGTGACTGGTTAACAGAGGTCATTTATTGTTCTTTGAGCTGACCAAAGTCTGCAGCTTTCCCTAAAATACAGGAATTCACAAGGGCAACTTTTTAAGACTTTTTTTTTTAATATTTTATTTATTTATTCATAGAGACAGAGAGAGAGAGGCAGAGACACAGGCAGAGACAGAAGCAGGCTCCATGCAGAGAGCCCGACGTGGGACTCGATCCAGGGTCTACAGGATCACACCCTGGGCTGCAGGCGGCGCTAAACCGCTGCGCCACCGGGGCTGCCCAACTTTTTAAGACTTAATGGTGCTCTGCTTACTGGCTGTTCAGAATGGCTACTGGCGGGCAGACAACCTTGGAAACATCTCCGCGGAGCCCTTTCAAACTCTTCACGTCACTGTCCTGCCCTCCCAGGCAGGGCGGCCTCCCAACTAACAAAGGTCCAGCCACTGGATTAACCTAAAAACCAAGGGACCAAACAAAACAAAACCTCCTTCAGACCCTGAGTCAGGTCTGACCTCGTTTGTCTCTCCCAGCGTGGCAGCTGCCAGGGCCACCTGCTGTATGAGAACCTTGAGCTAGACTGTGCATCCTGTAAATTTAGATCAAAAGTCCTGTCTGCTGCAGTCAACTCCTTCCCAATCAACTTGTATAACTCAACCATACAAGTGAGATAACAGCAAGTATGTTTCCCTGGATAGTCCATCACTTAACATTTCTGATTTTGGATCAGAATGCCGACCAGATGCCACTAAGTTAACTAAATATCACTTGTGGTTATTTCCCACATGGTAAGATTCTTCACGGCTATACACAAGGTGGTCTTCATAGGAAGAACATTTCCAGAAGCCACTATCTCTCTTGAGAATAGGTTTAATTTCAATTTCAACTACTGTAACAAGTGTACAGGGACACGGACTCTCTCCTGTGCTGCTGGTGAATCTATCATTTGGCACAAACTTTCCATATTAGAAGACTTAAACCTACAGATGCTCAGGAGACCTACTGATGATGTGCCATTTCAGTGGTAGAATTCAGAGGTGTATTTTATTTCTATGTTGCCAGTGGCTTTCTTTAGTGTATGTGGAGTTTCTTTGGCACCAACTTTCTTCTGAAGTCTCCCGTTTTAGTGCTCCAGCCACACAGTACTTATCCTGCTATCCCATAACCAATGTTGGTGGCTTCTAGCTTTTATACGCACATACACAATTTTAAAGGAAAGGTATTAAATCTTGGTCTTTTCGCTTAATATGTCTTGGATATCCTATTGTAATACAGAGATTACAGCTGCACTGTGTTAGGCTGTATGGATGCACCATTATTTAAGTGAGCTCTCATTTAGATGGTTTCCAATCTTCTGAAATTCTAATTATTTTTAAAAAAGATTTTATTTATTGACAGAGAGAAAGAGAGCACAAACAGGGGGAACAACAGAGGGAGAGGAGAAGCAGACTCTCTTCAAGCAGGGGCCCAATGTGGGGCTCGATCCCAGGACCTTGGGATCATGACCTAAGTCAAAGGCAGACACTTAACTGACTGAGCCACCCAGGCACCTCTAAAATTTTAATTATTAAAACCTTTGGGGAAAACCCTTCATTAAGTGTCTAGATTCATTTGTAATAGCTGATCAGTTGTCTACCTTACATGACTATTTTTAAGCTTGGAAAAGTAATACTCCAATTTTTAACAAACTGACCAGAGCCTCAAACAAAATAACAAAAGCTACCCTTTGCTGGCTGCTTAACAAGAGGGCCTGGCCCCGCCACCTCCAGCCTCACCTGGTGGAGACACTTTCGAGCTTTGTCATATTCACTCCTCAGGCAGTAGGCGCTGCCAAGATTAAACAGCATCACGGTTCTGGCAGAGGTGACCGAACTGGGGTAGCACTGAGGGGCCCGCTTCCCAGCTGGGGAAAAAGAGCATGGACCCTGGTGAAGAGGCCGGGTCAAGAGTAAGAGGGGAAACCCAATCCACCACCCCAGCAGCTGCTCAGAATAAAGCACAGTGCTACTTCTTAGGCTGCCAAACGAAGGACACATCACAGAAGGCTTGAGTCTACGTCTACGGGATGCAAGCCAGGCTACTTTAAGTATTTACAAAACTTCTTACTCACAGGATTCCATTGCTTCATTTTCACCTTTGTCTGATCCTATAAAAACATGAAAATAAACCTGAGGAAGAAGGACAACAGAGTATATTTTCTAGAAACCTAATTTTTTCTTTTTATTTTTTTTTTACAAAATGAAAATCTAGTATCAAAGCGATCTGTCACAGTGTTTACTATTCATGCAGTGGAAGTCCTATTAGAAGATATCAGAAGGTACCACCCACCACCTCCCCATGCCTTCATAATAATACTGAACAAGGTGAATGCCAGTCTCACTTCCTTAAAAACTGAACCATGATTTAAAACTGATTTCTGAATGCTTATTTCTACTTTCCTCTGACAGCAGATTCCCTTCAAGGAGAAATACACAGTACGAGAATCAAATTTTTCTAACATTATCACAACCTTTTAAAAGTGACAATCTATTATTTATTTAAAAGTCTTTCTTTGGGGATCCTTGGGTGGCTCAGCGGTTTAGCGCCTGCTTTTGCCCCAGGGTGTGATCCTGAAGTCCCGGGATGGAGTCCCACATTGGGCTCCCTGCATGGAGCCTGCTTCTCCCTCTGCCTGCGTCTCTGCCTCTCTCCCTCTCTCTCTGTCTCTCATGAATAAATAAATAAAATCTTTAAAAAAATAAAAAAAAAGAAGAAAAATAATTCTTTTTTCTTTCATTTTTTTAGGGAATCCCTGGGTGGCACAGCGGTTTAGCGCCTGCCTTTGGCCCAGGGCGCGATCCTGGAGACCCGGGATCGAATCCCACGTCGGGCTCCCGGTGCATGGAGCCTGCTTCTCCCTCTGCCTGTGTCTCTGCCCCACCCCTCTGTGTGACTGTCATAAATAAATAAAAATTAAAAAATATATATTTTAAAAAAAAAGATTTTATTTATTGAGGGCAGCCCGGGTGACTCAGCGGTTAGCACTGCCTTCAGCCCAGGGTGTGATCCTGGAGACCTGGGATCGAGTCCCACGTCGGGCTCCCTGCATGTAGCCTGCTTCTTCCTCTGCCTGTGTCTCTGCCTCTCTCTCTCTCTCTCTCTCTCTCTCTCTCTCTCTCATTGGGTGCCTGGGTGGCTCAGTGGTTGAGTGTCTGCCTTTGGCTCAGGTCATGATTCCAGGATCCTGGGATTGAGTTTCGCGTAGGGCTCCCCACAGGGAGCCTGCTTTTCCCTCTGCCTACCTCCCTGCCTCTCACTCTGTGTTTCTCATGAATAAATACATAAAATCTAAAAAAAAAAATTACGTATTTGAGAGAGAGAGAGAGAAAGCGAGAGACAGAGCACACCCGTGCCCACAGCAGGCAGAGGGAGACAAAGAAGCAGGGTCCCTGCTGAGCAAGGAGCAGGGCTCCATCCCAGGACCCCGGGATCATGACCTGAGCTGAAAGTAGACGTTTACCTGACTGAGCCAACCAGGTGTCCTTTTCTTTTTCTTTCTTTCTTTTTTCTTTTAGGTAAGTCATCTCTACACCAATGTGGGGCTTGAACTCATGACCCTGAGATCAGAGTTGCATGCTCTTCTGACTGAGCCAGCCAGGTGCCTCTCTAGAGTGAGCACTTAGACCATGTGATAATCAACTCTTACGTCTACTCAGAAAGCAAGTACTACAAATTATGTACAGCTAAAAATGTAGAAAGCCAACCTAAAACTTCTTTCTCTTGACAATTATGCCTTTAAATCTCTACACATCCAAGAAAGCAGTGGAAATGGTGACTTGTTCTGATCAAATGTATCCTCACTAACCTTGGTCCTGCTCATTTGAAGAGATCCCTAAGGAAACATCAGTGACATTCTCCGGGTTCAAGTGAGTAATGGCATCAGATATTCTGTCCAGAGAGATGAGGGCTTCTGCAGCATATAAATGGCCCAAAAACCTAAGATGATAAGAAAAGATTCCAAAACAGGTAGTAGGTTATCACAAAACACCCAATGTATAACAAGATTTGGTGTACACATGCTCACATATTTCATATATTTGAATTGAAATAAAAGTTTACAAATGGATCAATTAAAGGTCACTTAAAAAAATAAATAGGGCAGCCCCCATGGCGCAGCGGTTTAGCGCCGCCTGCAGCCTGGGGTGTGATCCTGGAGGCCTGGGATCGAGTCCCACGTCAGGCTCCCTGCATGGAGCCTGCTTCTCCCTCTGCCTCTGTCTCTGCCTCTCTCTCGCTCTCTCTCTCTCTGTGTGTCTCTATGAATAAATAAGTAAAATCATAAACAAACAAACAATAAATAAAAAAATAAAGGTCACTTGAATCTTATCTCTATAAAAATATCTTAAAATATAAAATAATTTTTATATAGCTAAGCTGGAACACGTATCAAGAAAAAAGTTCAAAATTGGCAAATTTATTGTTCTGTTTATGCAGACAATAACATTAACATAAGAAGGGAATGAAGTTCTAAAATAAGAGGCAGGTCCAAGGATGAATCCTCCAGTCTCTGCTGCTGGAAAAGTCAAAAGACACCAGAGTACCAGACTGGACTGGGAACAGATTTGGGTTAGATCAACTTTACTACTATCCCAAAGATTCCCTGCTTTTCAAATAATCTTTTTTATGCCCATTGATGTCTTAGGACAGATATGCATCCTCCTGGCTTATAATAGCCTGCTTCTTCAGGTCTTTTACTTACAGGCCATTTTTCTCTATGATCACTTGATAGATTTTTCAAAATTAAAACAGAATGAGATATATATACCTTTGCTGAAAATCTTAATGACTTTTCCTACCTGAGAACAAAACAAAACTTCTATTTACAGTTTTCCACATTTGGTCCCACTTTTCTATATCCAGTCAATATTCCTACCCCCTCAAAAATTGCTCTGATCCTACCAGACAGTGTCCCGGGCAGGGCACACCTGCTGCTCTCCTGGGGCCTGGCTTTCTGGAGCAAGCCTGGTTTCATCTCCACAAGTCAAAATCTACTCTCCTCCTTTTATTTTAGTTCTTTTAAGATTTTATTTTCAAGTAATCTCTATACTCCTTGGGGCATGGGAACCAGGGCAGCCTGGGTGGCTCAGCAGTTTAGTGCCTGCTTTTGGCACAGGGCGTGATCCTGGAGACCTGGGACTGAGTCCCACGTCAGGCTCCCTGCATGGAGCCTGCTTCTCTCTCTGCCTCTCTCTCTGCCTCTCTCTCTCTGCGCATCTCTAATGAATAAATAAAAAAAATAAAAAGAAAAAAGAAAATAACTGAGCCAGTTAGGCATCCTCTAGTCCTCCTTTTAAATGGCCCAGCTAGGTCTCACCTGCCCCAACTGAATCTGTCCCCATGAATCTCAAATCCTCAAATTTTAGGTTTTCTTTCTTCTTTCTTTCTTATTTATTTATTTATTTAAAAGATTTTATTTATTTATTCATGACAGACACAGAGAAAGAGAGAGGCAGAGACAGGCAGAGGGAGAAGCAGGCTCCACGCAGGAAGCCCGACATGGGACTCGATCCCAGGTCTCCAGGATCACACCCCAGGTTGAAGGTGGCACTACACTACTGGGGCCACCGGGCTCCCCTTTTGGCTCTTTTCAATATGACTTTTTAAGGGATTTACAAACACTCAAGGGCTCTTTAGTTCTTTTTTTTTTTTTTTTTTTAAGATTTTATTTATTTATTCATGAGAGACACACAGACTGAGAGAGGCAGAGACACAGGCAGAGGGAAAAGCAGGCTCCATGCAGGGAGCCCGACGTGGGACTCGATCCTGGGTCTCCAGGATCACACCCTGGGCTGAAGGGCAGGGCTAAACTGCTGAGCCACCTGGGGCTGCCCGGGCTCTTTAATTCTTAAGCAATTTCATTCATTCATTCATTCATTCATTTATTTATTTTTTAAGCAATTTCTTTTAACTACCAGGGGCTGCAATGATCTTTTATTTTGCTTGTCCACTAAATACCCTAACAGAAATGACAAGTTTTTAAAAAATCAGTAACTTTAATTATGAGAAAATATAATTTAAAAATTTAATTAAAGTAGTATCCACAAGCCAGTAACACATAAATTAAAAGCCAAACACATACATTCAAAGAACTACTTCAAAGACAGATCACTTAAAAGGCAAAAAAGTAATTTTACTTTGGAGATTATAGCTTATATACGCTTATATACTCACAGGATGAATGAAAAAACAACTGTCCTAACGTTATACAGAGTATTTGTAGTGTTGAATAAAATTTCTAGCATGGGCATCATACAAAGACTCAAAGAATGCTGCATCTCATTCAGTCTCCATAAAAGGAAAGACATGCTTTAGCAGATTGTAGAATGACAATGTCACTAATCTGAAGTTTGAATAAAATTCCTATAGTCAATTCTTATTTGTCTATTTAAATTGCATTCCTTGAAGCAGATCTATCATGCTGACTAAAGTCCTTTTTCTGTGGGTCTTCTTCCTGAGGACTGACCTTATTTTTGGGACTAATATGCGAAAACACACTCCAGTCTGGCCTAGTAGTGGACACTAGAGAGTGCAAAGTTGCTACCTCCTGATGCTCAGTAGAGTGAACACTATTTCCCTGAATCTCTGAGGTACAGCAAGGCTAAAGAGCCTAACAAAGACCTATTAAATTAATGTTTCAATCAGTTGTTGCTTTGTCTAGATAATATATTCCACTGGGGGAGTAAACAGCAGCAATATGCACCACAAACTAACTGAAAACCTCCAAACAAAACGAACCCGGGACACATAGGGCAAGTCACACTTACTTAAGCGATCCTGACAGCTTGGGCTGCTGAAGAAGTTTATCTGCATGATTCAAAGCCATAAGGTTATCACCCAAAGCCAGAGCCACGTAAGCACTACAGGCAAGTATGGAGCATCTGGAACACAAAAGGGAAGGGTTGAAAACTTGAATTATAAAATGGACAATGGTTGTATCTGCTACTAAATAGGAAAGAATGTCCTAATTATAGCTGTGACAATCTGGACACTGGAAAAGAAGAGAGGAAGCCACAATAGTAATGGTAAGAATTAGGATGACATAGAACTACCATTTGAGGCACAGTGTGGCTATTTGCCTAAACCATCTTTAGCTTCCATCCAACTCACCCCCATCTCCAACAAAACCAAAAGGAGTTACAATATATACTTAGCCCATAAAAAAAAAATAACAGAGTTAATGGCCTAGTGAGAATTTACTTCCCACAGAACATTTAACATCCTAGAAATAAAGCTACAGAGGCAGATATTTTTTCAAACTCATTTCACTAAGAAACACAATTTACTCATTAAAAAATCCATTTAGCTTACTGTAAAGTGTTCTTCTCTGAACCTGTTAAGTCTATACTTCTTAAGCAACAGTATCAAGAGTAACTAAAAGAATTTCATTCATATGGCTACTATCACCCTAAATGAATATTCAAGAAAGAAACAAGGCTGAATAAATACATGTGAAGGTAAAAAAAAAATTAAGTTATATTGACTTTGCTAAGGTGGGCTGGAAAGCTAAATTTCTGCTTGGTTTTCTACTTAACGGGTAGCTCATTTAAAACAGGCCCGTGGGATCCCTGGGTGGCGCAGCAGTTTGGCGCCTGCCTTTGGCCCAGGGCGCGATCCTGGAGACCCGGGATCGAGTCCCACGTCGGGCTCCCGGTGCATGGAGCCTGCTCCTTCCTCTGTCTGTGTCTCTGCCTCTCTCTCTGTCTGTGATAAATAAATAAACAAATCTTAAAAAAAAAAAAAAAAAAAAAAAAACAGGCCCGTGCCTACATCTTGGTGTCTTGGACTGTTTAGTGTAAGATGTTGAAAGACTTTTCTGTCGGATTGTCTCAGAGGTATAGCAGATCATTGGTTCAGAGGGAGGCAAGTCTGCTTCAAGGTTGTGAAGACTATTGACTGGCTTCTCTTGAATATTTTAAACTGAATTGGCATTTTCAGTAATAACTGCAATTTCTTTTCAAAGCATTTTATAGAGGGGCTCTTAATTTTCTACCATTAGTATATGTATCTTTTTATTAAAGGAAAAAGAATGTTCCAAGAATAATAAAGAATAAAGAAAAAAAAAAACAGGTCTTGCAAAAGACTTGACACTAATAGATCACCTGAATGTTAAACAACTGCTCCAAAAAGCAATCTTAAAATAAACCTCTGTCAAATAGAAATGAGGTCTGAATGGCCAACTGCAAATGACCCAACTTAGATACAGGGTTTTGAGTTATGTTTACAAATTACAGTACATATGTTTATCATTAAGTGCATTCGGGTTGTAATTTCAGTCTAAGGAAGAATGCAACTCCCATAGCACTGCAGTTTTCTAATAATCTGAAATTCTTATAGAAATGGCCCTTCTAAAAGCGCAGCTAGGCAAATCCAGAAGTTGCTTGCTGTATATTCTTCACTGGATGAGTTCTGGTTGTTGGGACCTTGGAAAATTGGATTGTTGGGATCTGGGTTGTTGTTGGGATCTACACAGAAAAGTAGACTGGCAAGGGAGGAGACACAAGGAAATTTAGATATATGGCCTCAGGCTATAATAGTAGGTGCTGAAAGGGTGCCTAATGTGGTCCCTTATTTTAGGAAGGTAGAGACTGAAACCCAAAGTTATTATATTCTGTAGCTTAGAGTATGTGATTAGAGTTAGGTCTAACATTTAACATCATGGACTCCGAATTCACTGCCCTTCCCATCCTATTACTTCACTATCAGTTCACAAGACTGCCTGAAAATAAAGTAGAAAGAAAAGATTGTTATAGTTTTTCTAATGCGTATGTAACTGTGTATACAACTGTAGGTCCTCAAGCTTGCCTCTTCATTTATTTATATTTTTTTATTAAGTTTTTTTTTATTTTTATTTATTTATGATAGTCACACACACAGAGAGAGAGAGAGGCAGAGACATAGGCAGAGGGAGAAGCAGGCTCCATGCACCGGGAGCCCGACGTGGGATTTGATCCCGGGTCTCCAGGATCGCACCCTGGGCCAAAGGCAGGCACTAAACTGCTGCGCCACCCAGGGATCCCTCTTCATTTATTTATTTATTATTATTTTTTTAAATTTATTTATGATAGTCACAGAGAGAGAGAGGGGCAGAGACACAGGCAGAGGGAGAAGCAGGCTCCCTGCACCGGGAGCCCGATGTGGGATTCGATCCCGGGTCTCCAAGATCGCGCCCTGGGCCAAAGGCAGGCGCCAAACCGCTGCGCCACCCAGGGATCCCTCTTCATTTATTTTTTAAAAAAGATTTTATTTATATATTCATGAGAGAGAGAGAGAGAGAGAGAGAGAGAGAGAGAGGGGCAGACACACAGGCAGAGGGAGAAGCAGGCTCCATGCAGGGAGCCTGATGTGGGACTCAATCCCGGGACTCCAGGACCACGCCCTGGGCCAAAGGCAGGCGCTAAACTGCTGAGCCACCCAGGGATCCCTTGTCTATTTTTATTTTTTTATTTTATTTTATTTTTTTAAATTTTTTGTTTATGATAGTTACAGAGAGAGAGAGAGAGAGAGAGAGAGAGAGGCAGAGACATAGGCAGAGGGAGAAGCAGGCTCCATGCACCGGGAGCCCGACGTGGGATTCGATCCCGGGTCTCCAGGATCGCGCCCCGGGCCAAAGGCAGGCGCCAAACCGCTGCGCCACCCAGGGATCCCTCCCTTGTCTATTTTTAAAAAAGATTTCACTTATTTGAGAGAGGGAGCATAAACAGAGAGAGCAGAGAGCAGGGAGAAGCAGACTCCTCTGAGTAGGGAGCCTGATGTGGGGCTCGATCCCAGGACCCTGAGATCATAGCCTGAGCTGAAGGCAGACGCTTAACTGACTGAGTCACCCAGGTGCCCCATGCTTGTTTCTTTAAAAGGGAAGAAAACAGAATGTAATCCAAAGTTTAAATTTTCTTACGAAGCGCAGAATTTAAAATCTGAACCCTGTTCACAGGAGTAAGCTGGCAAGCAATGTCCTTCTCAAAGGGATTTTTTGAGAAAAAAATCTGGGCTGCCCTGTGGCCACAACCTCTGGGGAGCATCTTCTCTCTCTGATGGAAGAAGCAAGGACCCAAAGATGGAAGGCACTGGCTAGTTAGCTCCTTTGTGCAGAAGCTCCTTTGTGCAGAAGCTCCTCAGGGCTTAGCTCTGTGTTGTGAGATTAGGATGACTTAATTTCCTCTTTTGGCTTATTTGTACTATGTTAAAATGGCCATGAACACCCATTCATCAGCCAGGTGTGTACTGCTTATGAAGAAAAGGACTTTTTTTTTTTTTTTTTTTAAAGAAAAGGACTTTTAGGCCTAGGTCTACAGAGGCCCAAGACCACTATCAGCTTGGGACCCATATGAATGAAACTCATAAAGTTTATTTATTTATTTATTTGGTAAAGATTTATTTATTCATGAGACACACACACACACAGAGAGAGAGAGAGAGAGAGAGAGAGAGAGAGAGGCAGAGACACAGGCAGAGAGAGAAGCAGGCTCCATGCAGGGAGCCCGATGTGGGACTCGATCCCAGGTCTCTGGGATCACACCCGTGGGCTGAAGGTGGCGCTAAACCGCTGGGCCACCGGCGCTGCTCGAAAATCATAAAGTTTAATATCTGTTTTCATCTGTGATGTGGCGAAAGGTCAGGGCAAAATATAAGCTCCTTAAAAGCAGAAGCTTTGTGTTTCCTACACAAAGACTAGAGCAATTCCTCAGCATTTGTGCAGTAGGTATTACACAGGTCATCACTGAAGACCACAGCTCTGGGTATCTTTTCACTTACTGCTCCAAGCACCCAGACCTCCACCTGTCTCAATGGTGAAGCTACCTCCTTCCCAGCTCCCACAGACAGGAGAGTCATCCTGCACGCTTTGGGGCCTATCATCTAGGACTGCCGCACAGTCAGGCAGGCTCGCTGGGAAAAGACTGCCCTGGCCTCTCCAGACAGTAGGGGGCTATTACTGCTCCAGCCCACTGTCAAGCCCACTTTGGGTCCAGAAATCAGTCATGTAAGATTGAAGCAGGTTCCTGTTATCCAGGAAGTCCAAACTACAGTTACATACCAGGTAAAAATTTGGTTTCTTCAGCTTTTACCTCTTTTCCCAGAAGATATCATATCAAATCACAACAGTATAGAAGATTCTAATAATAATCTTTCTTTGCAAAAATATTTAAGTATGTGAATGCAGAACTCTGTGGCTGGCATTCTTATCAAGACTGACAGGATTAACCAAGTTTCACTGCACAAAACTAAAACTAACATTTATGGCTCCTCTTCCCTTAGTGCCTCACAACCAACCCCAACCTCTCACCACACTCACCCATCTTTCCTCTAGGAAACAATACTCCATTTTGCATAATTCCTACTGAATGGTGACACCAGAAGCACATAGAGATCTCTCTAGTAAGCCCCTGGAGAAATTACTTTACTTTCAAGAGTTGCTACTTAAAATACTGAACAGTTCCCCCCCGCCCCCCATTTCTTCGAGTCACTGTCCAATCTGCTTTACCAACCACACAGTGGATCTGACAGTTCATTAGACTGGAAGAACCATACCTCAGGGAAGAGACACACTAGCTTCCTACCCCTCCCAGCCCCCCCACCATGGAGGATCTGACTCAACCCCACACTCCTCTCCAAGTGGGAGGAGCTTGCTCTAGATTCACAGAATGCCAACCCTTGGAAAAGAAAAAACAAAAAAGACAGGAAAAAAGAAAGGGAAGAAATGGGGGTGGGGACTTTCCTTAAAGCATCAAATTACAGCAACAAGGCATATAAAATTAGGCATTAAAATCTGTCAAGTCAGATATTCCGTGAGTTAAGTGAATCTAAACCAAATGTTTGAAATAGTTTAACTCTTAATAAAAGAGGCTAAAATGGGGGTAAATCTAGTCAATCACCATGTGTCAAA